CATCAAATCGATGCATTTAATTACATCAGCTGAATTAAGGTACTGTTTGTACACGTGTGAAATTGAAATAAGCCAATGCTCATCAATAATCTTAAATTCACATCAATTTCCAGGAAAAAAACATGAATTTTTTAAACTTCTGATTGGGCCACATAGTAAGCTACAGTATGTTTCTGAAAATTCCATCAATTTCCAGGAAAACATTACTACTTTGCACTTGTTTTATGTGCCAAATATATGAATAGTGGGAAGAGGTGCACTTACTGTCGTCAGAATTTTTATTATTTTTTAACACAGTCGGTCAACCTAAACGTGAGCTACTTAAAATCTGCCCGCGAGCTACCGGTAGCTCCCGAGCTACCTGTTGGAGAGCGCTGGTCTATATGATAATATGAGGGTTATTCTGATCAACTATTAGTTATTTGTCTTTTAGTTGGGTTTACTGACAATATTTGAAATACAGCTCTTGTACTAGTAATGACGTTTTAATCCCTCTTGTGTAGTAGCTACAGCTGTCAGATAAAAGTCGCTAGAAGTCCAATATTTACTCTGATATGTAAAACGCAGAATCCAGTTTAAATACAGAAGTAAAGTACAGTACTTGAGTTTTCATCACTTTACATATTTTTCACATCATAACTTTGTTATATTTTCATAATGTTTCATCCTAACGTTTCACAGTTAAGAGGTTTGATTTGAATTGTACTGTATGGATGATAACACCTTATTAAAGTCGATCTGTTTTCCATTGTGTCTAAAAGTCCAAACCACAACAGATGACACACCAGCCTGCAACAATAACGCACATGGATGTCAATCTGCAGCCCCATCCTCTCACTTACCGCGACCCTGCGTGGACAAAGAGAAGTGTCAACACCACCTCTCTAACTGCACAATTAACATGCAAATGAGCCCAGTCGCTAATGGCTATGGCAAAGCGCTCTTATGATGGAAATATGCTTTCTGTTTTGGCAGTATGGGTTAAACATTAGTCTGTGGAATCAGCTGAGGACAAGAGGGCAGAGGGCCCCGAGGCTTTCCCCGAGGGCAGAAACACACACACACACAGAGAGAGAGAGCGAGAGAGCGAGAGAGAGGGAGAGAGGGAGAGAGGGAGAGAGGGGGATGGCCTCTGCACCTGCTTCTCTAACTATGACTATGACACACACACTCACACACACACACACACACACACACACACACACACACACACACACACACACACACACACACACACACACACACACACACACACACAGAGCACGATCGAGCTGTTATAATCAGCCTCGTTCAGGCTGTCAGCCCAGTCAATAACTTATACCCTCAACTGCTTTTGTTCTAGCAGCAGCTCGCCTGATGCGTTCACTGCCCCTTATTCAACTGAAATTTATTTTCAATTGCTGCCCTCAGGCTGCAGCCCTGCAGCCGCACACTGACCGAGCGAGTACATAAACCAGCAGAACGTACACACACGCACACACTACACACACACACAAACACACACACACACACACAGACAGAATGCAACAACAATCTAGGATTGAATGAGAGATTTTGACAAAAAGTCTGGAGTTAAAAAAGCCGGAGTCGGCCCTAATGTGTTTAAACAACTGGAATAAAACAGACTTATATATTTGCAGCGTTGTAAAGCTCAAATCCAAGCATCTTGCGTGTGTTTACTTCAAAAAGAACTAAACAAATTTCAGATTTTCAGATCAGGTCGGATTTGATTATTGTCATCTACAGATATAATACCCAGTAAAAAACAGGATTTTTATACATCAGAAAACTCACATGAAATCAAATTACACATATAAGGGAAATAAACAACCGATTCCAATTTTGCTGTTCACTAAAACATTTAGGATGTTTAACCTAAATTTCATTAATTCATTAAGATGTTCTTTACTCATCATGATGAGGAAACTATAAAATAATATCTACTGATCCACTCTCTGGACTTCTCATTTAAAGTGTAAGGTTTTGGAAGAAGCATTAACAAGCCCACCAAGTGAGGCTGACAGCAGTTGTTTGCCTTGTTAGCATCTGTGGTAAAGAGTGAAAACAGGCCTGTTAGTGTGTGTGTGTGTGTGTGTGTGTGTGTGTGTGTGTGTGTGTGTGTGTGTGTGTGTGTGTGTGTGATGAAAAAAGCAGTGTTGCTTTAAGCGATAGACCTCGAGTGGCTCCCAGTAACAGGTGTGTGCTCTTTCAAGGACCCGTCGTTTGTCAAGCTTCATGAAAGGAGGAGCTGCTGGCCACAAGTCCATTCAGTCATCACTGAGCCGCCCTGAAAACCAAAACACAGAGGAAGTAAATCTCACATCTGTCTGACAGTACTATTCATACTCTGTTATTGAGACCTCTATAATAGATCATCTTAAAACAGAATAAGAAAGAGTTTCCTCACTTATACTACTTCTCAGCGGTAAACCTCTGACACTTTTTATTTATTCTTTTTTTTTTTTTTTTTGGCTTTTGTCTGGTTTATTTGCATATTAGGCTTCTGTATACAAGGCTTTCTTACGGATCTTGTGCATGATGGTGATGATGATGATTTGCACAGAGCAAAGCAACATTAGCTGCAAAGGCAATAAAGTCCACTCATTCACTCATCTTTTCACACTTGATCCCGCTCCCCTTCTTGCTCACGAGGATTTCATGCTTGCATTTGTAAAGTAGAACAGAAATAGAAGAAATCAGAAAGAAAGAAAAAAAAAACAAAGTGCAAAATAAGAAAACTATAACTTTTTTTTGCCAGTGAAAGAATAAAAATGAGAAAAAGAAAAGGTGATTTAAGATCTCAGTTGGATTTACACGATGAGGTGAAAGAATAAATAAAACACTGAGTCAAACGAGGATTATTTTCTGAACACTGGCAGGAAGATAAACCTCGTCATTATGACTAACAAAGTGACAGAAAACTCAATATCAAAACATTGCTGGCAAGCGCTGAACTACTTTATATGTATTTTAAAAGGAAGTTGAAAATGAAGAGGGAACATTTTGAAACTTCTTAAGCAACAGTCGTGCAACCACATGATCATCAGCCAGATTTACAGAAACGTTCAAAGCATTCATTTACATTCATCTCCCAAATGCAACTGCCACGGTTTGCATTTGTTTTGTGCATGTTATTTGCATGCATGATTGTTTTTGTGCATCATTTGGTAGCGCACTCACAAATGATCCCCCTGCATGAATGTATGAGAGCTGGATGGGCAGCAGTAGCAGCAGCAGCAGCAGTTGTCTCCGCTTTGCTCGGCTCCTAATTAGCCAGAATTAAGAAGTATTTCTCGGCCCATTGAAGAGTCCATTTCCTTTGAAAGCAGAGCATAATAAACCTTAAGTAATTACCCCAACTCATGACTATTAACTCGCAAACCGCCAGCTTCCCTTGACAACATCCTCCTCAGTGTTATGTGGTTAAAAGGCCACTGCAGCTACCCAGCTATTTACATCCCATCTGGCGGCCTGCGAGGGACAGAAAGGCGAGACTCATTCCTAAAGACAAAAAAAAAAAAAAAGAAGTGTAAAATGGAGTCTTTCACTCTTTCCAAACTTCGCCACAGAACTTGCATTTTCTTCCCTCCGAATAAGTTACAAAAGGCCCTCTTCTTTTCTTTTTCTGTCTTTCTTTCTTTCTTTTTTTTTTTAATCCACTCACTCATTTGCATTTGGCGAGGCCGAGGAAAGGGTCTGAATGTATAATCTTCTGCATTTAGTAGTCTGTAATCCCGACGCCTCTCTGTGATGTGATTTTCTCCTCTTGGTCCCCCATGAACAATTAACTTGTAATCTGCACAAACATACATTCTGTCGCTGCAGAGATGAGACGGAGAAACACCCAAGGGACCCGGCGGACAAACTGCTCTGCGCTCCCGGAGGAGGATCACTTTTCTAGCTGCTGCAGCGAACAATTCAGCAGGGCTCCATTAAGGCTGCAGCTCCAATCCCTCATTTTTGTCTCCCCCGTTTAAACATTTGTGTTAGCTGCTCGGAAATGTTAAATAAAAGCAGTGTGACACTTTCTGTGTTTTAACTCGTCATTAGCTGCAACATGGGGCCCAGTGGTGCACAGGTGAGACAGAAGAATAAACCGCTGGTATAAAATATGGTTGGAGTTTCAGTTTGACATGTCGTTAGAAAATCCACCTTTTGCTTACAGGCTTCATTTTTTAACCGTATCCGTATAATTTTATGTCTATAAATACAGAGACAATCAAATTAATTTAAGTGATGCAATAGTATGACTGACATTCTTTTAAATATTTGAAGAGAACAACTTTGAGAAAAATGGAAGTCATTTTTTGTTTAGCTTTTAATAGTTGTATATTATCATTTTTTTAAAGTGTCTTTTTTTCTTTCAATGTATCTATTTTCTTAAATATTAAATGATATTTTTTAATAGCAAAGAAGCTCATAAAACCACTGTATACATTAGGAGACTGTGATAACAAACACACGGAGGTTTCACAGATAACTGAGGATTTAAATTCTTAGAAATGTGTGAAAAGCAAATATTTTTGGATAGAATCAAATAATGGATTTAGAGGCATAAAGCTTTTTCTTTTTCTGAAAATAACAAAATACTCTAGACTATTTTTCTGATCATGTTTTGATTCACACCCAAAAGTTAAGCACAACATATGACAATCAAAAAAGGATCCTAAATAAACTGAATAACACAGACATGACAAGATTAATATTTAATTTCTTAGACTTTAAAGTGAATGATTTTGAAAATAAATAAAGAAGGGAAAGACAGTAAGTCTGATTCATAATTTCAGTTTTATTGAAATTTCAACCAGGATGCTGGGCAATAATAAATATTTCATCAACAATGTACAAAAATAAAGACACGTGGTCTCTGGGCATAACAAAGTCGGTTCAGCAAAAACAATCATGCTGCAATTATTGAAGCTACCATCATGCAAAACAAATATGATACAAATAAAAAACACATTTGAAGCACAGATGGACAAACAGCAAGGCTCAAAGAAACAAAATTTACAAAAAAAAAATGTCCGCAGTGGCAGCAGAATCCTTTTAGCCAAACACATAGATTTCATATTTTCATGTAGAACTCAAGTTTAAAATCCTTGGTACAAGGCACAGAGAGCATTCTTCGTTTTCACAAAATAAGCCTGATAAAGAAAAATACAAATTAAAAATGTTCATGCAGCCTCGTTCACCTTTCACATCGTGGGACTAAAACTCAGACACACACACAGGAGGTTCGTGGCAGCTTGTTGTATGACACGCAGCCTTAACTTTTCATCAGCAGTCTTTAAAGTCCTTGTTACAAGGAGGAAAATAAAACGTTTTTCTCATACGCCAAACAAGAAAACATACAACACAACAGCATGCACGGGTGAGGCCGAATCCACCCTCATGCCCAGAATTTTCTATTTACAATCATCATCACATCTCAGTCTCTGTGTGTCTGTGGGCATCATTTCAGTCCGTCCTTGCCGTCGCTTGTGAGTCTCGTGAGGCCGGCGGAGGTGATGGGGATGTGCGGAGGCGGGGGCACCTGACAGATGGTGCAGGGACACGGCAATCCAGCCCAGTGCTGGAAGCCGGAGCCCAGCTGCAGGGCCGGGGGCGCAGCCGGGGAGCTCTTCATCAGAGAGTGGGGTGCCCGGAGTGACGTGAGTCCCGGCAGCGCGCTCGTGAGAGTTGAGGAGGGGGAGGAAGTTAGCGCGCTGCCGAGCAGAGGATGCACCTGGTGCGCGGCGGCAGCGGCGGCGGCGGCGGCGGCAGCAGCAGCGGCGGCGGGGCCCCCGGAGTGTCCACCGGGCCCACCTGGGTGCGACACGGTCCCGCAATGGAAAGCCGAGTGCTGCCCGCCGTAAATCTCCCCAACGAGCCGCTTCATCTCGTCCAAGGAGCTCGTGAGCATCAGGATGTAGTTCCTGGCCAGAAGTAGCGTGGCGATCTTTGACAACTTGCGCACCGATGGCCCGTGCGCGTACGGCATCACCTCGCGAAGGCCGTCCATGGCTAAGTTAAGGTCGTGCATTCGTTTCCGTTCCCGGCCGTTAATCTTGAGCCGCAGGTGATACATTTCCTCCTCGGTGACTTGTTTCTTCAGCTTATACTTGTTGCTCTCCTCAGATGATGACTTGTCTCCGGAGCGCAGGCCGTGCTCCCCGCCGGTAATCTTCTGGCGTTCACCGCCCTGCGTGGAGGAGGACACGGAGGAACCGACGAGGTGATGGAGGTGGTGATGGTGGAGAGGGTGGTGGTCACGGAGAGACATGACGTCCATGTCCGGAGAGGAGGATCTGCTACTCAGGCTGGAGTCTGAATTCATTTTATGGGTTCGCTCCCGAGGTTGTTGGGTAGGAGGTCGCTGCTGGCTTCCTCCCTCTCGCTCTCACTTTCTCTCACACAAACTTTCTCTCTAGCTCTCTCTCTCTCTCTCTCTCTCTCTTTTCTGAAGTAACTCTGGTCACCTGATGTTGCCTGGATGCCTCCTGTCCCACGGTTCTGTCCCTCTTATCACACCGCTGACCAATCTTCCTCTGACTTTCTATCTCTCTCCTTGCCTCTCTCTTTCTGTGTCTCTGCGGTGAGGAGGACACTGATGATGGTATTTATACACGCCGGCAGACAAAAGCGGCTTTCCTATTCATAACGCCTCGTTAGGAGGATGACGTGCCCGTTAGAAAAGGGGGCGGTGTGCTTTGACTGTCCCAGTGACCGCGGTGCGCAACCATTCACTGCCATTGTCGGGACACTGTTGGGGGGCACAGCGCGCCTCTCTTCTCTTCTTCTTTTCTCCTCTTACCTTTTTTTTTTTTTTCATCTCATCTCCTCTTCTTTCTTTTCTTTTCTCTCGCTCTTCTTCTCTTATCTCGCGGATCAGAAACTTCTCTTCTTGGGACGATCTGGTCAGTTTTTTTGTTTGTTGTTTTTTTAATTCTGTCTTATAATAGCCTATTGATCAACGCAGTAGGCCAATAAGTTTTTTTTTTGAGAACTCATCCACTTTATTTTCAAAAGCTGCCAAAAAATATGTTCACTGTGGCCTCTTGTGTTATCTAGACATTTCATGACAATTTTACGCGGCAAGATGTTTAACATCGCAAAATCGTCATTTATTTGAACTTATTGTGATTTTCAATCGCCTACATGAAAAAATAAATAATCTATGGATTCACGAGGAAGAGGAGAGATCATGCTGTGTTTTAGTGAAACTTAATTACCCTCTCACCCTGCGTTGATTTTTGTTTTCTCGGGCACTTACATTTTACGGCAGAGTTGCTGGTTGCCAGAGGAGATGAGGAGGAATGAGAAGGGAAATTGCTCCCTGTTCCGCGGCCGCAGGGTGTTCGGCCTCCGGGGGGACAGAGGTAACATCCCCGCTCTGACACCCAGCGCTCTGCTGACCATATGGCAGCATGTGGGCGTCAGTCTGCCCCTCCAGAAAACCTCTCATCGATTCCACGTTTACTGCAGGATCATAATGTACCGAGTTTTATTATTATTGCACACTATTATCTGATTTTTCTGTTGGAATTTTGATTGTTGTAATTTAAACTTTTTTTATTTTCAACTTCATATTTAATTTTTCGTTTTATTCTTTTTATTTTATGAACGATTTCCCCCTTGAAATAAAAATGATTTGATTGATTATTTATTGTTATTATCTTAAAGTGATGAACAAGAAGAACATCTAAATATATATTTAAAAAAAAAAAACCATCTGCTCAATATAGGCTACAGTGATTATAGTATTACATAGTCCAATTCAATTCATTTAATTTCTCTCAAAGTTGGTTTGAGGCTAACACAAATGTACAAAAACCTGATCACACACACACATATCTAAAAATAAATCTAAGTCCCTTATAAATAAAGCATTTGCAAATGCCAAACAAATATGTATTTAAATAAATTAAACTGCCTCATTACATGTTAAAAATTATAATAACCAACCCCTTTTTTAAAATGATTAACAAAGGTATGAAATGAACATGAAAATAATTTTTTTAAAGCATGTTATTGGTAAAACAAGTGAACAGAGGGGTTTCTTAAGTGCTGTGTTTAAATATGGAGAGAAAGCATTAAATTGAGTCAGTCTTGTGTATATTGAGCTGCTGAGAGCACTCTCTCAGCTCTTAAGAGTCTCCTCCAGATCGGTTTTGTCGAGGTGGAGTGGAGGATTGGGCCTCAAACAATAACATGTGGAAGTGGCTGAAGCACTCTCCCTCTGACCACCACCTCTGCATCCCTCCATCCATCCATCTGCCTGTCCTTCGAGCCGCCATCCCTCTGCACATACACACACAGCACTTCAAACTCAGATAATAAAGTCTGTCTCAACCTCTTCTTGGTGCTCTATGAGATCGCCGTGGTAGAACAGTAAAAATTTGTATTCACGGCCTCATTGTTGGCCCAGCAAAAGAGCCCTTCTCATAAAGGTGCTGCCAATGCAAAGAAAAAGCGCTGCTCGGCTTTACTCTCTCTTGGTGGCATTTGAAAGTGTAAAGCTTTGAATACCAATTGCTTGAACTGGACATATGTGAATCCGCTGTAAGCCTACTAATCCTGTCCCCGAGTGTTTCTTTGTGTGCATGGGGCAGCCTCGCACACCCAAGAGAAAGTGTTCCTAATCCGGCCAATGTGGAGAAATGTGTGAATGAGAGGGACAGCCAAGAGCGTGTGTGTGCGTCAGGTATCATTTTGTGCAGGAGCACATGCTTCTGAATGGGTTTCTTTCGCTTTATTTGTGTATTTTTTTGGGGGGTGTATTTGAGTGTGTGTGTGTCCGTCTGAGGCCCCTTGCTCCACACCACCAGGACACTGGTCTAAATGGAGGCAGTTATTCACCGTTTCACAACTACTGTCGCAGCAGGTCGCCCCTAATGTGCTCTTTTCACTGCGTAAGCTCCTTGCTTTCCCTTTATTCGCCTGTTCATATCTCTTTTTTTTTAATCTCTCCTCATCTTACACTTTTACATGCTGTCTCCAGCTTCTGGATCTCTCTCTTTTTATCTTCCCCCTTTGCCAAGTGACTCTCTGCCCTCTCACATCAGTTTCGGGGCATTAAAAGGACAGTTGGTCTCACTGTAAAAGTCACTGGGTCAAGTTGACCCTATTTTGGACTGATACTGGATACACTTTACACAGCTCCCCTTTGAAGAGGGCCACTCAAGACAAAGGGGCTCAGTGGTAGAGTAAGTTGACTATCAATACGGAGGTTGGGCCATCAATCTCCAGCAGTCTACAAGTCGAGGTCTCCTTGGCCAAGACACTGAACCCCAGATTGCTGCTGCTGCAGTTTTTATGTGGTGTTAATGGGTAAATGCGACATGTAGTGTAAAGGCCCTCTGAGTGGTAGACTAGAAAAGACAAGTCTATGTGTTTTGACTATCCATACCACCATTGAGGTGGTTCTTTTAACTTTTCACTTCAACGATTGTTGGAGAAATAGTGTTCAAGAATGGGACATAGGGACGGACAGACTGATGGGCAAGAAAGCAGAAAACCTTAAGAATTATCTTAATTTCATCCTACAAACATATGATGAGGTATTGTCCAAAAGGTGTCCAAAACCTTTAATCTCCAAATGTATGTCTTTCATTGTTGATTCCAAATGGACCTTGGAGTGTCACATCTGTCAAAAGAAAACATCCCATTGTTATCTGACTATACCTTCATTGGAACTACAATTGTTGGCTTGTTTACCTTCACCAAAAACGTCAAATAGCAGTTTACATAATTCAGGGATTCTTTTTTAGACAGTAGAAAGTGTTCACAATAGGATGAATGTAAGGCTGCAGTGACCTTGACCTTTTGCCACAAATATCGAAGTTCCTCCTTGATGTGCGTGGACTTGATACCAATGATCGTATCTTTTCCAGGTTTCAGACTTCAAAACGCTGACACAGTCAATTTCTTGTGTTTATTTTTCTTTTGCCTAACATATTAACAGCTAAGCCCTGTGATTGACTGGCGTACAGTCCAGGGTGTACCCCGCCTCTCGCCCAATGACAGCTTGGATTGGCTCCAGCACTCCCCGCGACCCTGAACAGGAAAAGCGGTAAAGATAATGGAAGGATGGATTGACAGCTAGAGTTTGAGTCAGGACTTTAAGCAGAAACCCATGCAACCAATGCAATTTAAGTTTGGAAAAAAACAATTGCCTTTCCACCGCTACTCTTGGGTGGGCCAGACCCTCTAATGAGCTGAGGGCAGTAAACAATCAATGGAAGCGTGTTCCAGCAGTACAAGAAGACAGTAGGTTAGTGGGAGTGTCACTTTCACTGTGATCCAAACAATGGTCAACTCCTAGTGCAGACCAAATATGGAAGTTGGTCTGGTAGGTTGAGAGGTACCAGATCACCTTATGAGCCCTTGAGCAAGGCACCAAACCCCCTCCCCACCACCAGCTCAAAAGCGCCTGCTGTGGGCAGCTCTGTCACTCTGACATCTCTCCATTAGTCATTCTTAGAATAAAAGTTATACAGATATAGGCTATTTTTTACAATATGGAAAAAAAAAAAAACACTGCTCATCAAAAATATTTCGTCAATAAAGGTCAATAAATTAACTTATTTATAAACCATACATTCATTGATGATGCAAAAGACACCGTCACCCTGTGGCTTTTTGTTTCTGACTGTAACAGTCTGTTGCGAATTCCAGTTGCATTCTTTTAAAAAATCAACTTCATAAATAAACCTTTGATTATGTTCTAATTAGTTTCTCAGACAAATTTAGGCCCGAAGCCAAACCTACAGTACTGCCAACCCCTGCACTATAAGCCCACAGTCAGTTGAGCTCTTTGCTAATATATTCCTATATTTTTAGAATTTATTACAAACATTGGCTGCAACAAACTAAAAAAAACTAACATGCCACTTTTAAAGAGGAAGAAATTAAAAGTAATTCTGAAACTTCCCCATTTTTTATGTCTGGTGTAGAATATTTTTTCTACAATACATTTACCTGGAAGTCCTCAATAAAATTTGCCATTCTCTGCTAGCTTTGAAAAATGGTGTGCATTGTTTTTGTCTTGCTGGGCCCCCCATTCATAACTCTGGCACCCCCTAGGGGTCACACACCCCACTTTGGGAATCACTGATGTAGCTTGAGCTAGATAGATTTGTTTTAGACAGAGTTCAAACCCACCTTTGTTCTTAGTTTAGTTTATTAGTGTATTGGACAGGGACCATGCACAGCTCAACTGTTGGGCCAGTGTTAGTTACGGCTAATTTACATCTGTGGGCATGAAACTGAGTACTAAGCAGGCCTGCAGTGTATGCAACCAAGTGAACGTGTTACTGTGGATCTATACTCCTTTTATTTTGCCATCAAAGAGATCATGAAACCACAGTTTGAAGTTTTACAGAAAGAGCTTCACAAAGGTTGGAGCAGTAGAACGGCAGATGGAAGACAGGAAGAAATTCAGATCTGAGGCGGAGGACAAGCAAAGCCCACAGACCCTAATCAAAAGTAGTTCTGGGGTTTT